CCCGCCCCGTGACCACATCACGTCACTCTATGACTTGACGCCGAGATGTCAGTTGGTCAGGTGGCATCACGGTAATGCTATCTCATTCCATGTAATGCTCTCTCATTCCATCTCTTTTCGCAACAACCAAACACAAAAACACTTTTATTTTTTTTTTCTTACTTAATGACGAAATAGCGCCTCGTACCCTAGTTCTCTGAAATTCCCATCAAGAGTCCGGCAGCGCGGCAACGCAGCTTTCGACCGAACCCTTTCTCTCGGAACTCCGCAGTTGCTATCGGACATCTCGGAGCGCCCTCTGCAGTCCACCTACTCCGCCAGGGCCCCGGATGACGTGTGTCGCGCACCGAGCATCCCGGTTTCAATTCGGCCTTCCCTATTAAATTCCCCTCAGCGAAGGCGGACGACAGATTCCCCGAGCGCGCAACGTACCGTCTCTTCCCTAGTCCCGGCGTTGGAGGACAATTAAGCCAAAACTCTGCGCGTCTGCGAAAGGCACCGAGCCGAGGACGTGGGCAGACGTGGGAGAGTGAGCGGCGCTTTCATGGAACGCGAGTTGGAAATTGGGGAAGAGCGAACTGTAAGAGAGAGATAGTGAGGGGGAGGAGGATAGGAAATCGGAGAAAAATGGGGACCGGCGCAAATTAAAAGAGTTTAAAGTATGATCACTGAATCTCAAGCATCTCATTATCGATGCTCAGCCAATGAGAGTGCAGCGTTGGCTGGTGAGAAAACCGAACAACCAGTCACGAAGCGAGAAACGTGTACGTAATTGCGTTTCCTGCGCTCTCGGTGACTATAGGAATGGCACGAGCTTTTGTCGAACCTCGGGTTCGACTGGTCGACGAACCTTCAAACGTACGGTAAAGCCCGAAGACGTTAGACTTCTAGAAGAGTGTTGCCCGACTTTTTGGACATCTTTTCAAATCTTTGAGAAAGACGTAATCTATGGGATATTTTGCTTTAAATAAACAGATTTACCAATGTTTATACGGTGTCAAAGTGAGTGAAGAGACTTTTTCCTTATTTGCTAAATATAGCCGTAAATATGAAACGATTTATCCAGAAAATGCTGCACCCCCTCCCCTTCTCCAGGTGGAGCAGCCGGGTGGTTTTCAATTTTGTTGTATGCGCATAACATTCGAACTTCGGGTTAATTGTGCAAAAAAGGTATAATCTCGTCGACCTCGATGCACGGCTAATTCGCGATACCCCCATTTTAAAGATGGGCTTTTTTGACAAATCTGATTGGTTTCGGTAAAACCATACCCCGGCCGAGACTTTTCGTAGGTCACAAAAGTCACGAAAGAGATTACACTTACAGGGACAGAGGACAACACACAGAGCTCTGTCCCTCTAAGTGTGTCCTCTTTCGTGTCTTCTGTATATTGTCTCCAACGCTCTCCCAGCCACGTACAAGTTTCCTGGGAACTTCGCAACTAAAGCCCACGTCACTTTGCCCGTACATCATCTTGCGGAGCGCAAGTTCGTCTGCTTCATTAGCAGGGGCTCTGGTGACATCAGAACGCCGAGCTCTGATTGGTTCTGAATGAAGGATAGTGAGTAGACCTCAAGGTAGCCTGCTTCAAGGTCTACCCCCTATCCTTCATTCAGAGCCAGTCAGAGATTGGCGTCTTTCTGACGTCACCGCAAATCCTGCGCAAGAAGCAGACAACTTGCTCTCCGCATTCAAAAAGATCCGCGGAGTTTCTCTGCAGACATGATGGCAGAATTACCTGCGGACGCGGCCACAAGCATGCTTCAAGCATGTTTGCATTATTTATGCTTCCAAACATGTCTACGGGCCGTTCTTTCATGACCAACAAGACAGAACCGTCATGCAGAAAAGAAACACACATCGGACAGTGTCTGCCCATTGTATTTTGTTCGGTGTATTATGCTCGAGTAGCACTAAAATGAAAAACAGAAACAACCGACACGGATAAGCCTCAAACACGTGCAGCTTGTATGCGGTGGTACCTTCGGTAGGCTCGCAGTGACTCGGTGCCCGTGAAGAAATTAAGCGCGATGTGATTGCAAGTCTGCGAAAGCTTCCTTTGCGTGCATGCTGCGCGTGTTTTTGGCTCGTCGGTGTCGGTTATTTCTGTTTGTCGCTCTACTGGGACTCCGGCAGCATTGTGCCCGCGGCTACTCATCGGTGAACGCTACGGAGAAGAACGGATATCGCACGCAAATATTGTTAAACAAAAATAATCGAATATATTGATATTAAGTGCGCAGCCGTTCGCTGGGGCCCACATGACGACAAAACAGTCTCTGTTTGTGCAAGTGTTCGCCTTCTCTTTCGTTCACATTTCGTCCAGCCGGGACCGTAGCCGGTCGTCATATTAGATTGGAAACTCCGCTGCCTTCGGTGTTTTCGACGCGGGCCCGTTTCTGCGCTCCCGCTGCAATTGAACCGTGAACGCGAAGAGAGTGAGATCTGCGCTGAGGAATGGCCGTAATTAAAATTGGGATACGCGCCGGTGTTCGCGGCCATCGGCTTTCGTCCCTAGCGCCACTCATCCGCGTCCGAACGCGAACCAGAAAAATGCGTAATTGCCTGTAAGGCGAGTTAATGAGAAACAAATAATTTGACTGCGCGTAATTACGACAGATCCTCTACGGCAAAAACTTTGCGTCGTCAGGTAGTCGTTGCGCGAAATATCCGACGCTGCCCAACACCTCCTAGATGACAAAGTTGTAGTGCAGATAGAGATGTCATCATCAGCAAAGGCCAATGCTGATCACAGATTGGAAACGACGATTGCGTCAATGTTCGGCTCGAACTTGGCTCAAAGCCGAGCACTGACGCAGCAATTCTTTCCAATCTGCATCCAGCGTCGACCTTCGCTGGTGGCGCACAAAAATATCAGCACTACAGCCTCGTCTCCTAGGCGGTGTTCGGCCGCCATTTTTGAGCAAAACGCGTCTAGGGAGAAGGTTTCATAAAATAATTACCCTTTTTTATTTGAATTCTAAATTGAAGGAGATAAATTTTGATTGTATGAATCTCGGAAAACTATACTAATTAAGTCCCGTGAACGACCTCATCTTCCTCCATGAAACGTCATCAAAATCGGATGGCAGCACGTCAGCAATTTCACCCAAGCCCGTAACCGAGGGTCTTTCTGCGCGTTAATCGGACACGAAGCCAAGCCGAGCGCTCGTATCCAACCTGTGTCTTCGCCCGATCTCAATATGATGACGTAAAACTTCTAGCGCGCAGGCTTTGATCATTCTAGGGCGTGTTGCCTCGGGGAACACGCTCGTAACAGTCGGTCAGTGGCGAAGCATAACAAACACCTCTTTGTGTAGCCTTTCAATGGCGGCAGAGCGTTTCTATTCAAAGCGAACGTGGCGTTCAGGGACTTCAAAATGCGCAATTGAGGTGAGGGGAACAGAAGGAAGGAACGGGCGGGGTCTCATGTACGTTAAGTTTTGCTGTAGTTAGCTAAGCAGCAGCAGCAGCCACTGACAGCTGAAGAATTGCAGGACGTGGCAATACACGAGAATTTCATAGTCGCCCTGCAGCAAATGAGATCGTGGCATTAACCGAAGACGCCGAGGAACCAATCATGGAGCGAGAAGCGTGATCTCGATGAGCCACTCCCTGCGTATCTTAAGCCGGCCGTGACTATAGTTCTATAGGGCTAAATGGAGACTTTTAGTATATTGTACAGATCCCACCGATAAGAATACCCAATGACGACTCAAAGACGTCGACGGAGTAGCGGGTATTATTATCGCAGTTGTCCTAACAATCCACTAAAACACTGTAATAATGTCCCCTATTGATCCTTCACTTTCCCTTGGTTGTTATCCCGATTCTCGGGAGCAGACACAATCAATAAAATAAGATCTGTTCCCCGAAACGTTTCAGGCATGATAAGCAAAGCGAACGTGCTTGATCTCTAAGACAAACCTGAGGTTCGCGGAATTGCCAGTTGGTATGACTTTATGCTTGCTACGCTTGACGCAAAAAATTTCAGGAATTAATAGACTGTATAATCATAGACCAATTCACGTTTTCCCGCTAAATATTTGGAAGAAAATGACGCGCTACATAATTTTATGTTCAACTTCTTTTTGTGTGAAACGCGAGGTGCGGCATTTTCCTGGGGCACCTTGATATAGCAGCCAAATAGGTTGTGGCCTCAGCCGATAAAAGGCGAGATGAATATCACAAAGCAAGATGAACACATAGTTCTAAACATATTTCGTGTAAAAGAAATCGTTTCTGCTGAGATACCTAGCAAAAACATCAACTGCCCTTTTAATACCTTTCAAGACATTCACTTTCCGCGCAGCGTAAAATCCAAAATGAACTCTCACACACCGAAAGATTGACCACCTTATTTTCTCAGTATATTTATTTATTGTGGGTGGGATTTCACGGTACCTTCGGGCTAGGGCCGCAAAGAGTAGCCCCACATAAGCCATCCATGTCGCTTAAAATTACTGTTGCAGTTTCTTTAACTTTATCTAAAATCTCCAAAAACTATCCCGTTCTTCAAAAATTCAACACCACGCAAAACGATATCGTCTAAGCTTCCTGATCCTCCATCTAAAACCCAGAAAGTTGCAAATTCGAATCGTAACCATCGCCATTTACATCTGCTTACCACTCTGCCTCGTTTCACCGTACAGACAAAACCTACAGACATAGATGCAGAACTTAAAAGCGTAAGATTACGGCGCCTGCACAATGATTAATTGTCTTCGCATGGTGATATCACGGGTGCAAAATGATGACGATCTCGCACAGCTTGATTAGACACGTAGCATCGACTGCACTCGGACCTAGGGTGAAGTGAAGTATACGCGACAAAATGGCGGCGAACAAATGAGAGTTGGGTAATCGCTTTCTAAATAAAAAGAAACAGGGCTCAGACAGGGTGTGCACGCTGTTTTTTGTATGATGTACCATCCCGCCTTCCCGTCTCCTCGGACTGTCCAAACTTAATTGTATATTCGTCATATTTGCCTTTCCTCCGCAGAGACCCACACAAACGTACCGCCCCGGATGGCGCACTCGAGGCAGCGGGTGACGGCTACCATCGGCGACACAGCGTCCCTACCGTGCGCCGCACAGGGATCCCCGCCGCCCCAGTATCGCTGGTACCGCGACGACGGCAGCCCCGTGTTCCTGGACCAGCGGACGAGCCAGGTGGACGGGGTGCTCGTAGTGCGCAAGGCGACGCTCCGAGACGCCGGCAAGTTCACCTGCGTCGCCAACAACAGTGCCGGCGACGACAGGGCGTCCAGCGAACTCGTCATCACGGGTGAGTGGGCATCTAAACTCCATCTCATGAGTTGCGCGCAGCAGAGGCAAAAGCACACGCGCGAGCGCGTGCGGGTTTCAATATTGCCTTATTTTCAAGCACACTCGCGATAGGAAAGCAAATGTGAAAGCCATGTGCCCACGCCTATGCCTTTACTTTGCCTTTGCTGCAGATTAACTTATGAGATAGAGTTTGTACAATCAATTGATCAATCAATATTCTTTATTGAACTCAATGCATATTAAAGGTTACTGAAAGACCATCTGAGCTCATAGCCAATTTAGCTAGTTTGGGACATTTTAATAAATCATTCCAATCACAGGCACTGTTATTGAAAACAGTAAATAAATAAAGGATAATTCAAAATAAACGGTTCACATAATAAATTAACGTAATCATATTACAACAACGACGAAAAATAATTATGTGATAAAGCAAATGAATGTCAGGATGAGCCGAGACATCCTATTTAGAAATATATATGGTGCATCAATTTAAAGAACTGGTAAAGTTCTCTGAATTCATGGCTGAAGATCGCAAAGTATTCCAGATTTTAGCACCGCGGAATTTCAAAAGTCGCTAGGCACATACGTTACCAGTTTGAAAGTCTTTTACAGATCGTTCTTCTTCTCCACTACGTCCTCCGAAACGAGGACGCCGCTACTGTGCATGCGCGCCGCTGGGCTTGCCAGCAATTTCAGATCAGCTAGTGGGTACCGGAGTGCGTTGCTGGACAGTGGAAACGATTTACGAAAACTTCTTTTTAGACAGTTTTAGCAGTATCAATTTGATGACCTGAACTCTAACTTGTCTATTTAAGCACTGTTGTGCTGAAGGCACCAGACAAAAAGCTTTCACAAGGTAGCTTTGACTGACTCTGGTGCCCCTGCACTTGCAGGGAATGGTAATAAAAAGAAAACCAGTATACAATATAATTTTTCTGAACAAAACATGCGCGTACATCTTTTTTGTTAAACAATGAATATCAATGCGATCTATATTAAACTTTTTTAAGTAATCTAGGTAGGTAATGGGCAACTGACTGCAGTGCGTAAAGCCTACATGTGGGCACTCCATTCTAAACCAATTTGCAATACGGTCTGCGAAAAAATAAAGCGTGTAAATGTTATCGAAAAAATAAGTGATCATAAAAGGGTGGTAATCTAATCCGACATACAAACTCAGCACCCCCGTCATCAGTTCAAGGAAATCTACGACTATTCTAAGACAAAGACAGCCGCAATTGAGTCAGCCATGCGGATATATTTGGGCGAGTTTGAGCGGTCTTTCCACTAACAGTCTGTCGAAGGAAACTGAACTGCTTTCAAAATCGAATCAATTCTATTCCTTTGTTAAAAGAATCAAAATTCCGAACAACCATCGCCGTCTGTGGTTTTCGCAAAAAAGTAAGCCTCTTCTTAATAAAAAGACGGGTTTGTACACAGCAGCTATGTAAAGGAACGATAATGTGTCCTGGAATTTGAATAATCTCCATTCATCGATGTGTACCTTTGAAATAAAAAAAAAAGTCTAAATCAACATTTTACTGTTAAGGTTTAAAAGATAATTTCAAGTCGAATCCCGAGAAGTTTTGGAGTTCTATAAATCCGCTGAAGTCAAGTCATTCTACTTCTGGCTTCGCGGGTTCAAGAGGAAGTTTGTTTTCCAATCTTGAAACTGCTAACAACTTTAGTAGCTTTTTCAGTGAAGCCTTTACTCATTAATTCTTTCCCTCAGCTACCTGTGAATTCACTCATGACCACGCTTTCTTAGAAAATAACACTATATCTTCACGTGGTGTTAGCAAATTTATCGAAGGCCTCCCTTATCGTTCATCACCAGGAAAAGATGGCATTGAGTCTAAGTTGTTAAAACTTATACAGCCCTGCTCCAGTGGCATTCTAGCTTTGTTGTATCAGCGGACTCTTGGTGAAGGTTGTTTTCCGAGTGAGTGGAAACGTGCAAAGGTCATTCCTGTCCATTAATGTGGCGATGCGTAATGTTTAGATAACTACCGACCCATATAATTAATGAGCGTCCCATGTAAAATTTTGAAGCATATTATTTATAGTCATATAATCAACTTTGTATCGGAGAATAACATTGTTTTCGATGGTTGACATGGCTTCCGATAGGGCAAGTCGTGCGAAACTCAACTTTTCGAACTAGTAACCGATCTTCATGGAAATTTTCATTTGCTTAAGCAGACTGATATATCATTTTTAAACCTTTCCAAAGGCTTTGACTGTGAGCCCCGCAAGCGGTTAATACATAAACTTGAAAATGTCAATATTGACCCCTCACTCATACTTTGGATTAGATCATTTCTTACGAATTAACTTCAATCGGTTTCAATTTCTGATCATTTATCAAACAGCACAGAGGTTACGTCCGGCGTACCGCAGGACTCGGTATTAGGACCAGTTCTTTTCATTTTATATATAAATTACCTCCCTGCGAACATTTCTTCTTCCATAAGACTTTTCGCAGTCGATTGCGCCTTGTATAGGAAGGGAGCTAAAGCTGACGACTCTCGTACCTTGCAAGACGATTTGACCTCAATTGTTTCATGGTGTTACAAATGGCAGATGCTTATTAACATAGATAAAACCAAATTTATGAATGTGACGACATCGAAAACTATAATCAATTGCAACTACACAATCAAGGGTGTCTCTTTCGAAAAAGTAAATAAATATAAGTACTTGGGCGTTTTTATTTCCGATACTCTTTCTTGGCAGGACCATATTGACTATGCTGTGGGCAAGGCAAGTCGTTACTTGGGGTTTCTTAGACGCGAACTGTTTCTAGCATCTCCTGAAACTGGCCTGGTAGCTTTTAAATCTTTTGTAAAGTCGCAGCTGGAGTATGTGAGCATCAGGTGGGCTCCTCCTCAGGTTTATCTGAAAACTAAATTAAAGAGCATTCAAAACAAGGGGGTGCGCTTCATCTTCCATGACAATTTAACTCAAGCGAGCGTTTCGGCACTGAAAAAAGAGCCCATTTACCTCTATTATAAACCAGGCGTAGGGTGCCCAGTCTCGCGTTCCTTCACAATATGTATTACTATAATGTTTCCCTCAAAGAACGATTATTCTTCTAGCCCATCGCATTTTTGATAGACATGATCATGCTCACAAACTTCGCTCACCTCAGTGTGGTACTAACCAATTTCGCAACTCCCCGTTACAGCGTGCTATTTCAGAATGGAACTCTTTCCCTCAGTGTATAGTTGAAATTGCAGATAAAGCAAATTTCATATCTTCATGTGAAATATTATTCCACATTATCCCGGAATGAATCTTCTGTGCAAACTTTTTTCTTTTTTTAAAAAAGTTTTTTTTAGCTAGACATAGGTATTGTATTAACTAATCGTGGTATACTTCTCTTAAATTCCTACGACTTATGCCTCGTATGTATTATCTTGTATTGTACTGTCTTCGCTTTTGTAACTCCCCCCTCTTACAATGCCCGAACGGGCGCTTTGAAGTATCTTAAAGGACAACTCCGCTCAATTCCGAAAAATTTAAGTTTAAATGTGATTCCATTTCACAGAGCCCTTCTAAACAACTCTACGTCTTCGGATTCGCGAAATGTGGAATATTATTTCTGTAATCTTAATTTAAACATTAACTGATACCGAAACCGAAACTTCGGTTGCGTGAGGCAACGTTAGTCTCGTGTCGTCAAAGTCATGGCCACGTCACGTCGAACCGCGAGGTACAGGACACGCGACGCGGGCAGGTCGCTTCGCATGGCATGGAAAGTGATAGCCCGGGGGAAAGGGGGAGGGGAAAAGACGAAAGAGGAGAGGGAGAGCGGAGAAACAGACCGATAAGCGCGCAGGGCAGCAAAAACCCAGCGCATCCGCGTTACGGTGATCACGTGGACGCCGTTGAGCCAACACCGGGAGGAGAAACTCATGACGTCATCGTTCGATTTCGCTCTGAGAAGTAAAAACAAACAAAACGTGAGAATGACGTAGACGTGCCTCTGACGTAGTGGCTCAGCGTTGGCCGCTCCAACACTGTCGCATTGACTGCGCTGACGATTGCGCCTCACGTCGCACGCTAGAGTTGGCAGATTTTCGCGACTTGGCTCATTTGAAAGTTTGCTGGCCAGTTTATTAAATATATAGACGGAATTAGATCGTAATATTTGACATGGGGTCCTTCTAGATGGTACTAAAGAGGGATGCATAGTTTTCTAAATATCAAAATTGAAGCGGAGTTGCCCTTTAAATGAATAAAAATAAATAAATAATTACGAAGATGAGGCATATTCCAGAACTCAATGTTGCAGGATGCATGCACGAAGGCGCAGGAAAAATGTATGGTATCGTTATCGAATGTATCGTAACGCTATGCGAATACCTTATATAATTACCGCAGAATGCCGTAATTTCCAAACTCTAGTCCACAACTGGTGAAAATTCCGCAGAGGCGAATTTCGGCAAGAAAAAGAGTATTTTTCTCAGGTAGTCTTCCCACTGTGCATAGTCCGCACCTTGTGCATTCTCCACACGTAAGACAATTCTTCTGTCCAGCGGGGCTTGAAGAATAACACTTCATTAGTGCACAAAAAGTACATGTCATAAAGAAATTATGAACGTAATCTGTCATTCGGGAAATCCGTCACATCTCCCCATATTGAAAGACATTGAAATGCATAGCTATGTCGCACATGCACACAGTCCCCAGCGCGTAAACCTCCATTTTACCCTTTACTTTTACCTTTTACTTTTAACTTTTACTCCTATATTTTACTTTTAGATTTTCATTTTAAGTTCTACTTTTGAGGTTTTTAACTTTTAGTTTTACTTTTAACTTCTACTTGTAACTTTCAGTTTTAGCTTTTACTTCTACATTTTACGTTTATTTTTACTTTTAGCTTTATATTTTGTCATTTACTTTTAGCTTTGACTTTTTACTTTGCCTTTTTGCTTCAGTTTTTGTTTTAACTTTTACTTTTAATTTGTACTTTTAGCTTTTACTTTTAACTTTTAACTCTTACTTTAATTTTTCTACTTTCACCTTTTACTTCTAACTTGCACTTTTAGGTTTTAACTTTTACGTTTACTTTTACAACTTTTACTGTTATCTTTTACTTTTAAGTTTCACTTTTACATCTTTTACATGTAGCTTTTGCTTTAAGTTTTCACTTTTAACTTCTACCTCTACCTTTTACTTTTACTTTTATCTATTATTTTTAACTTCTACACATGTATAGCCCTTGGACTATGTAGTTCTCAAAATACAGTAGACCCTTAAAAAAGTTTCTCAAGCAACATTGATGACCGCCATACCTGAGCCATCGCTTCCTGTGCGAAGCGGGTGATTAGATCTGAGCTCACGCCCTGTCCAATGAATGTCCAAACGCCAAGCCATTAACTGGCACAGGCGGCCATAGCATTAACTGTGAAACTTCGGAGCTTTTGTATTCGGGAAAAGTATTGAGTACTTAATGTTTTATGTCCTCTAACACCAAATAGAAGGACGGTGTAAAGAATATAATATAATGAAATAAAATAGAACAATGGTGTAAAAAGTGTAAGATAGAGTTAAACGTAAAAAAATATGTCCCCCATATTAATTTTCCCCGTAAAAGGAAAACGAATATTGAAACGCCCCAGACCCAGGCAAGTTACCATATGGTAGCTTTTTGTCTGGAGGCCCGCCAGAGTAAATTTTTTGGAAATAAAGATTTAATTTCATTTCAACTGAATAAAGAAACAATAGGGCAAATAGTTTAATACCTGGCGTCACGCTATCAGTTGACTGCCTTGGTCTTGGAATGCGCACTTATTGGCCATGTTGTTTTGAAGGTCGGCAGAACGCTTGGACATTTAAACCAAAATTTAAATAAGTCAACTAAAGCTATCAAAAAGCACGCCTATCTCTCGTATCTACGCCCAGTTTTAAAGAACGCCTGAACCGTCTGGGATCCCATACACGGTATGACCGTTTTGCGAGTGTGAGTGTACATTGGCATCAAGACGACGAACTTCGCGGGTGGAGTTTTTTACAATATACGTATATCAAAATATAACCGGCATTATTAGCTCATCTTACTTATTACCTACGAATTATAACTCCAAAAGAAATGACCACATTTATAAGATAAGAGAATATCGCGCTATGACTGAATTGGGTCAAGACGCTTTTTTTGTTAAAACTCTTACGAAGGAGAGTACTTTGCACAGCGAGTTTCTGTGCGCAACGAATTCCAAAATCTTTTTTTTTCAGGTTTATTCACCCTGTGCGATAATGCCGGATGGTGCTGCAGGACCACGACAATTAAAAAAAAAGTATAAAAAATAAGACTGGTCATTGGCAATGCCGGACAAACCGGCCGAACGGAACGGCTTTCTACGCAACAGGTTTTCCTCGCGGAATGTTGTTGTTAGAACGTTCTTTATTGCCCTACTATATATAATATATGTGTATATATATATATATACCATACACACATATAATGCACCATTGTCGTCTGCATCGGTGCGGGCCTAAGGATCTGCCGTTGCCGTCATGGCGGTCTGGGTGGTTGTTGGTCCCAGCGCCTTCGGCTGCTGCAGAGTCGTCCACCGGGGCCGTCGTTGTCGTAGATGAACTCCGCCAGCTTTGTCCACAGCAGGGAGACGATCGTCTTGTCACGACTGGTGGGTAGAATCCAATCGACATACGTCGTCGGACGGATCTCGTCTGGGAGTTCCTTCAGTTTCGTTTTCCGAAGGCTAGCTGGTGACATTTCTCGGCGTGACGTCTCAAATAATAGGTCCGTCCAACGTAAACAAGGAAAGTGCCAGTATTCCTTTAGTAAAGTATGAGAAATTAAAGATGACTATTCCCTCCGTATTTCTTTTTCTCTCGCAGAGCCGCTGACGGCCACCATCCAGCCACCCCGACAGCAAGTGCACGTGGGCCAGACAGCCATCATTAAGTGTGCAGTGTCCGGACACCCCGTGGCGGCCATCGTGTGGAGATTCAATCAGCGTCCGCTGCCCATCAGTGACCGCGTCAGCGTCCCGTCGGCAGACACGGTGCACATCCGCTCGGTGAAGAAGGAGGACAAGGGCATGTACCAGTGCTTCGTTCACAACGAGGTGGACGCGGTCCAGGCGGGGTTCGAACTCTCCCTTGCCGGTAAGTTGGCACGCTGTATACATTCACCGGGGTCTGTTAACGGCACAGAGCTACTATCGGCTATGGTCAAGAAGTCCTCAAGCACGAAACTCGCTGACGGACCCTGCCGAAGAATTCATTATACAGCAGAGCTCCCAAGATAAACAGGGCCTAAAGGAATACATGCGCGGCAGACGAGTGCTTAAAAACCAGGGTGGAGAATGAAAATCAAAATGATTTAAATCGTGATTTATATCAGACCGGTTTTACTATGATGATATAAATCAAACCGTTTCCGCAAACATATTTCGAACTATTTTAACGCTTTTTTTTTTTGTTTGAGGCATGCTTTCTATCTGCATTTGGTATCTTCTTAAATCAAGTAATCTTCAAGCAGGTAAAATGTGTATCATGCTGAACACGAGCACAAGGCAGGGCTCGGAAGGTTGAGCGTTCTTTGTGACCAACCACTTGGCTCGTCAATCATGTAACATCCTACTGCAAGTAACTCAATAAATAAATGAAAAAGCAATGTCCTATTCCAAGAAAATCAGAACGCAAAAGAAAGCAAATAAATCTTTTCAGAAACTGGAAATATTAAGTTCGGATTTTTTACTACATGGCAGTATTAATTCAATAAAAAGTTGGAAATTAAACTACTTTAAATTTACAGTAATTCTTTCTTTCGTATTGTTTGCAGTGATCGGGCGGATAACTATGTCATTTTTAAAAACGCATCAAGTGATTAAGAAGCAATATTCCATAGCTACCGTGATTTAAGTCAAATTATTTCGACTTAATTCATTTTTTTTCCAGAACACTGATTGTTTTATATGTTAAGAACTAGGGGGTTTGTCTAATCATAATGAGATTCCTCGGTTCGCAGTTGGTTTATAAATGGTCTTACCGAATGATACTGCAGTATGCTATGATTTCCACTTATAATAAGGAGACTGAATTTGTACATGTCCTGTAAGGTATAGGTTTCGACAACTTAAAAGCGACAAGGAATGATAATTTTTATTATGTTCGTTGGTTTGCAGTAGGCGCTTGAATGTCGTACTTATCAAATTATCTAGCGGCTTTATGCGGTATTTAGTGATAACAGAATTATTGAAGCTACCCAAGCCAATATTGCCCAAGCCCTGTCAGAATGTACCAGATTATTGTCATCGGCAGCTTAAGAACGAGTCTAGATTGCTCCTGTCATTCTTAAGCTACCGTCCATCCATCCAAGAAGCTCATAGTGACTGTCAACCGTCCACGCTCCCGCAGAGGACCTTCCGGAGTTCCAGGATACCTTCCGACCAGAGACCGTGCATCCGGGCACACGGTTCTCGCTCAAGTGCTCGGCGTCTGGCAACCCGCTGCCGCAGATCACGTGGTCTCTCGATGAATCGGCCGTGCCCGAAACACATCGTGTCCGTTTCGGCGACTACGTCACGCAGGCGGGCGTTGTCGTCAGCTACCTCAACTTCTCCGTGGTTCAGGTGGAAGACGGTGGCGACTACAGGTGCACAGCCAACAACGGAGTCGGCACGGTTCTTCACACGGCCAGAATCAACGTGCCAGGTGAGGTGGCAACGAGGGTATTTTCTTTACCCGAATTAAGGGATTACAGGACACAAACGGTTAACAACACTCCGTGGATGAAACAAGCTTGAACATATTCGCCGTTTTTTGTTTAGCAACAAACTCAGTGACGCCGTCTATTGGGTAGGCCCTGGCACACTTCCGGTCCGTGTATAATTCTTAATTTTTTTACGCGTCATTATTTTATGATAAGCGTGAATTAAGTATGGCAGTGCTTTAAGCGGCCATTTGCTAAGGATAGTACGTACTATAGATTTGACCTCGCATATACAACAATACCCGTCGTCTATTTCAAAACCGGAAGTATTTAAGGACTATTTGCACACTGGAGCCACCATGTTTCAACTCACGTGAAAAAAAAAGAGCGAATAAACAAGTTATCAAAAAACAAAGTTGGGGCTCCGATAAACGCTGTGAAGGTGGTTCGACAGCGAAGACGTGGTATCACCAAGAAGGAGTGCCCACTGCACTATATTTCTTTTTATGGCAGACGCCACCAGGTGGTGCTCCAGTCTATGACGTCCCAGAAAACTTCCGGTTTATAAAAAGAAATGAACAAAGGCTGCCTTAAGACCGCTGCTTGAAATGTAGATGAAACGTTTAACCACCAATTCCCCAGGTGAACGCCAAAGAAACGAAGGAGTACGAGTTCTGTTAAAATGGTTGGAGTGTTCTTGAGAACCAACTCTCCTCCACCAAGATGTAATATTGTGCCGAATTCCCTCGTTGAATCTCCAACTTTTTTATCCGTGTAACATTTATGCTTTCTAACTCGGGGGACATACGTAAGCTCAACAGGCTTGCGAAGACGGTGTGACAGGAAGTCGCTTGGGACGCAAGCGGCCGTTCATGCTTTTAAACAACAAAAGGGTATATACCAAATGAGTGACGAAAGAAAAAAAAATGAAAGCCGCTTACAGCTCCCTCTAACGCCGAATTAGAGCGCAGCTCTTGAAATGGAGGAGGGAAGGGTACTGAGGGTCACGTGTTCTCGGGGAGGGGGGGGGGGGTCACGTGACCTGGGGAGTCACGTGACCTCGGGGAAAGGGGGGGGGGGGGGGGGAACGTGACCTCACGGTTACGCCGACGCCGCTCAAGCCGGAAACGGGCGCCTAAGAGCTGCGCTCTAAAATAAATGCACTGTACCAAAACTTTTTTCATAGATGAAAGACTTCGTACGGGGGCTGCCGTTGCCGCGGCAGCTTATGCAACCGCAATCTTCACCGCGAAACGCATGCCGGGAGCGCAACGTGCTTCGCTTTGTTAGCGGGGCTAGTGACCGGTCTCCCCACTTCGTACGCTGCCGCTGCCGCGGCAGCCTATGCAACCGCAGCCTTTACAGAAAAACGCATGCGGGGAGTGCTACGTGCTTTGCATTGTTCGCGCGCGCCTTACCATCTATCATGTAGTTTTTACACTTTTTTTGTTATTTTCGAATTGGAAGAAATGTCAAAACCACGTGATAAATAATAAGCCGCGCGCGATCGCTGATAAGGCGCGCGCGATGGTTTTCTGGCGACTATTGTGTCGACTACTGCTTTGTCGACGGACACAAAAAAAGAACGACCAACGAGTCATACGCAGCTTCGCTGTAAAAAGCTAACGTACTGCACACAGCTGTACTATGCCCATATTCAAACTGACCCCATGCATGTCGTGATAAAGCGACTATCTCAAATGTATCCCTAACAATACTTAGCAGTATATTGCTTAGATGCGCTTTCGTTCACCATAACACGTCTTAATTTATGACGATCATGAAAATCTGTTGAACATTCTGAAGTCACTTCCTCGGATAATTGAACACCGCATATGTGGTCGATTTCTCTACAGATATTTCGCGAAAATCGGCAATGAATGAACTCTATTAGAGAGGATAGAAAAATGAAAGCCGTTTATAACTCCCTGTAACGCCGGATTAGAGCGCAGTTTTTGAGGAGGAGGATGGAAGGGTACTGAGGGATAGGATGGGAGGGTACTGAGAAATAGGTGGCTCCCTGAGGTCACGTGACCTCGGAGGGGTCACGTGACATCAGGTCGTCACGCGACCTGAGGAGGGCCACGTGACCTCAGAAGGGTCACGTGACCTAAGGGGGCCACGTGACCTCGGGAAAACCCTCATAACCCTCGTCAGGGTAACCCTCATGACCCTCGTGAGGGTAACCCTCATGACCCTCGTGAGGGTAACCCTCGTGACCCTCGTGAGGGTAACCATACGGACCCTTGTGTGGTAACCCTCGTGACCCTCGTGAGGGTAACCATCGTGACACTCGTGAGGGTAACCCTCGTGAGGGTAACCCTTGTAACCCTTGTGAGGGTAACTCTCGTGACCCTCGCGAGGGTAACTCTCATAACCCTCGTGACCCTCGTGAGGGTAACCCTTTTCAGGGTAACTAATCCTCGTAACCCTCACGATGGTTACGAGGGTTACGCGCAGTTGCGCCGACGGCGACGCCGACGCCGACGACAACGGCGACGCCGCTCAAGCCGGAAACGCGCGCCTAAGAGCTGCGCTCCGAAAATGAACGCAACAACTACATAAGAAAAACAGCCTGGAGTCACACACCACACAATGTTCGCCTCTTTCCTTCTAGGTTAGTGGATAGGTCGTTACCGAACTAGGGCATTTGCGTACTTTTACATTCCTGTGAAAAAGCAAAATTTCCGTTCTATGTGTCACGCCTTTGTACGTATACTTCGCCCCTACATCTATACTTCGTTTCACCTTAAGTCCGGTAGAAGTCAAAGGTTAGAAGGTACGCGAGCAAAAATGCAGTGACTAAAGGTGCCATGACAAAACAAATTCTCTACGTGTGTTTGGTTGAGCCATTGATGACATACGTACAGAGAAACGGCGAGCGCAGTGACGTCGGGCTTTTTGGCGTTGTTTGATAAATTCTATCGAATCCTAGCTTCAGGTGCGCTCTAATCTACCACGAGGCAATGTACTATAGCACTGCTATATCCAAGAAGGAATGCGCTTGTCTTTCTGGACAGTCGCTCAACAATATAATCTGCCTATTCCTCATTAGACATATCTTCCATCCCGGAGGTGTGTTCAAAGAGTCGGAATTCACGTTAATGCCGTATGGTTTAGGAAGTTGCATTTTTCTCAAGTAAAATTTTATCAATTTGTCGAGGTAAAAATATATTATCCTTATTTTTTTCATTTTCTTTTTATTTCGCAATAACTTATCAACACAACCGTTAACAAGGCAAGAGGGTGCTGGAGACCTGGGAACAAGTGAAAAATTTCGGTTGGCTTTTTTTTCGTAATGACCAGAAGAACAGCACAAATGAACACTGCGCGACTCTAAGTGAGAACACGACATCGAGGTGTTTTCAAAGGTTACTGCAAAATAGAGTTCACGGGCACCACGTATTACTGCTTAGGTTATTGCCCCAAATAAGCACTTCCCACCACACTGAGCGTTTTAGTGACAACATTTCGATAGTACAAGTTCAAGAAAAAACAACGTCGATCGCTTGTTTGTGCTAACCATGTTAGCACAACTGAACAAGATCTATGAAAGTACAAAGGTCAAACCAACCTGTGAATACCCTTGTGATGTATGTTTTTTGTTGTTGTTTGTTATGTTTCAAGGCATACATAAAAGGGGAATTTTCACGTAATGTAAAATCATGACTGTCACAAGCCAAACAAGGCAACACAAAAAATACCAAGTAAGCACCGCAGTGTATATTTGGGATGCCAGGCTTTCCCTTTGAGTTTAAGCACCACCCGCCAGCGCACACGCGTGTTTAAGTTCTTGACTTTGTTTATGGGCAGAATTTTCTCATCTATACTAACCTCCCCTGTTCTAGGACGACCTGTGGTGAGACCTATGCGAAACTTGACGGTTGTCGCCGGGGAAATCATCAAGTTAAGATGTCCGGTGGCCGGGTACCCCCTTGAATCCATCAACTGGGAACGAGGTGAGCTCTGTAGAATATAAGAAAGAAGAAAATCCCCAGAAAGCCAATAATATGGGCATAATTCTACATGTTATGCGGCTTCCCCTATTTCCCTTCGGCACATTAAACTTCCAACAATGTGAATAGCACAAGCAAAGAACATGTCCTGCTCTGTAAAAATTGATTTATAACTTAGCACTCTAATGTTGAGATTTTAAATAGGCATCGAACTCACTCTTCAGAACATTTTTTTTTTTTTAAATATCTGGATATGACATGAATTTCACGGAAAAAAAATAACATTCACTCCAAAAACGTTTTTGCGAAATATTTACGCTGCGACATTATTGGAGGTTAGAAAACAAAACATTTCTATAGTCAGTTACAGGTTAAAAAAGTTTTCGAGGAAAAAGAGGGCAGGTGAGGAGGAAGCGAACGGAATGCTTGAGAGGAGAGGAGGAAACCTCCTCCTTTCTTCAGCATTCCGTCTGCTTCCCCCTCCTCAGCCAGAACACTTTTCTTAACCTGTGACTGACTAACTATATAGGTAGTTCGGGGTTGACTACTCTAAATAGAGGCGTGTTTCGAAATCTAAACTGAGTGTCGGAATGTAAATACTGCTCAATTTGTTTTGTGACAAAAAGGGGGGAAGGGGGGGGAGGACTAGTTTAATTTATAACATACGCGTCCTATTTATGAACTTCATTTTCTTTTGAATATTTACGCTTTTTCAAAGTCACCTGAAAAATTTAGCAGCTTTTTGTTACCCAACTTATATCTGGATTAGTCCAAAGTTCGATTAAAAGATAAGTAAAACGCCACCGTATTTAAACGCATTTCTGCCGGCTTAAATTGCTTATTTCTTATAAAATATTGGACACGCATTACTTTTCATAACGTTTTCCGGAAACCTGCAGCGCTTTTAATTGTGCGTGGTCCTCCCAGAGGGAGTCCGCCTGCCGTACAACCACCGGCAGAAGGTGCACGACAACGGCACCCTGGAGGTGCACCACGTGGAGAGGGCCACTGACGAGGGACCGTACAGCTGTGTCGCCAAGGACAGAGAGGGACACAGCGCCCAGAACACCATCTACATCACCGTCAAAGGTGACCATCCCACCCTACTCATTTTCTTCCCTATATGTGACCGATCACTCCCTTCACAATTTCTGCCACAAATAGCTCCCATCGGCAGCGCCTTTCACACACCCGTCCAGCCTCTCCATTCACTAATTTTCGTCCTCCACGTCCCTTCGCTTCCTCACTTCGCTCATTTCCTGCACTCGAGTTCCCCACCATCTCTCTTCGCTTGCACTCGTCAGTCACCCTACTCACTTCACGCTACTCTCTTCGCTAACTTTTGTCTTAAGCTCCTTTCAATTTCCTTATTTATTTGCTTGTTCCAATTTCTTTTACTGGCACCTTTTATTCGCTTTTTCCTCGAGCTCCTGTCAGCCACCCCGTTCAGACACGCTCTACTCCATCTAGTGACATTAAAGGGGCACTGAAACATCAAAATCATATTTTTTTTTATTATCCGAAACGATTGAAAACGATGCCGGGACATTACCTTCAAAATTTGAAATTTGGGAATTCAGTATTTGTGAAGTAAAAAAACAATTTCCAAATGCCGAATTCGAAGTTCCCGCGCGATCGGCGCCGGTGCCTTGACGTCAAAAATCGCGGAGACCTGAGAGTCCCCTTTCCTGTCACCACTCCCTGCTGTTGCCATGGCGACCCAAAGCGAGGAGGAAAGGAGTGAGCGGTGGCGTTGCGGCGGACCGGTTTTGAGCGGTGTCGCCTGTTTTCCGTTGGAGGATACAAATCCAGGAGACGGCACCACAACGAACTCCCGATTTTTGGTATTTCAAAAAGAAGGGCCGTAGTGCGTTCGCAATTGCGTTAAAAAACATGTTTTACGATTGCCGTTATTAAATGTTATAGAGATGTCACCTACGAAGCTTCAAAATTTCCTGATTTTTGACGTCACCGATCAAAAGAAGCGAGGAGGCGAGAGGCGGGAAAATCAAACGCCAAAAATAAAAAGGCGCGCGCGCGCGCGGGAAAATTTTTTTTCGCGATGCGTTTTTTTTTTGCGTGTCTATGACTGCAACTTGCATCCTTTTAGACAATAAAAATAAATACGACCTTTGGGGTGTCAGTGCCCCTTTAAGTTGCTAATTTTTTTTCGCCCACTTCCTTCACTTGTTATTCGCATCGTTCACTCCCTCTCTTCATAATCTCTTTTATAGTCGCTCCTTTAATTGTTTAGCTTCCTTCCCCAGCTTTCTTCAGCCTCTCTTCAATCCCGCTGTTTATTCTCTGTTCTCTCACAATGTTGCCAGTTACTTCATTCACTCTCGTGATTCACTTGCTCCCCTTGCTTGTGGCTTTTTAGGCGGGAAAAAATGACTCGCTTAGTTTAATTTTCGAAGAGCGTTTAACTGACGATCGGATATAAAAAAAAGAAGAAATAATTGTATCAATTATAACTTGTAAACGCTAGAACCCTAAAAAAGGTCCAGCTAATTCTTGCGCAGAATCATGGACAATATAAGCGTCCCCATTGAAGCATCAAGCACAACCTCTGGTTGTTAATGTTTTCTGTTTGTTTTATGCTGAAGGACCCCACCCTAGGAGGATTGCTTAACAAAGCGCTTCTTGTCCCGCTCTTTCTGAAATTGCCGCAACAGTGAAGCCGACCATAGAGCCCTTCAGCTACCCGTCGTCCCTGAGGGAGGGACAGCGGTCGTCGGTGATGTGCACCGTGATCAGCGGAGACCTGCCCATCAATATCACGTGGTTCAAGGACGACCAGCCAATCACAGCCTCGAACCCCGGTACGGCCGGTATCCTGGTCAACACCGTGTCCGACTATTCGTCCACGCTGCTCTTCAAGTCCCTTCGGCTTGACTACCGAGGCAACTACACCTGCGTGGCCGCCAACGAGGCTGGTACCGTCAGCCACTCGGCCGTCATGATAATTCACGGTGAGTTACCTGGATAGACCACCCGGGTTTTCTGCTCGTGACAATTGCAGGGCATGTTGACTGTAGTCAACATGAGCTTTCAAGTTTGAGCTGAATAATATACATCAAGTGACCTTGACTATTATGTATGGTAGACACGAATGTATTTGTTTAGGCTGCATTTTATACATCGACAGGTTGCGAGTGTACGTACAGTCACCGCGAATGTTCCGGTTCGAGCGGTTTTTTAAGCACTAAATGACTGTTCCTATAGTAAACACAAACGTTTCAATTCTAGCTGTCTTTTATACATCAAGTGATTGTGACTATAGTCACGAGGTAGGTTTAAATTTAAACTATCTGCTATACGCCAAATGAGTGTGACTCTAGTACATGAATGCTCCAGTTTGAACTGTCTTTTTATATACACCAACTGATCGTGTCCAAAGCCAACACAGGTTGGCTTTGGACAACACAGTTTTATCCATATGTTACGCATCAGCTGATTGAATCCATGGTCCACACGAATGTTTTAATTTGAGCTGTCATCTCCACACCAACTGATTGTGACTTTTAGAGTCAAAATAAGTTGGCTATATACAGCGAACTCGAATGTTCCAGTTTCGGCTATTTACTATACATCCATTGATTTTCACTTGTACTCGGTGCTAATATCCCCGTTTTAGCGATCTACTGTGCAACAACTGACTCATACAATATTCAACACGATGTGTAAGCTGTCTATTCAACATCAATATATTATCAGTGTATCCAAGTTTTAGTTTTAGATTAGCTCTCACTCCAGAAGATTTGACAGTGCTGCGTGCTACATGTGCAATTTATTACAACACCATACTTAACCAACGTAGCCTGGTTTATAAACCAAACCTTAAAAAATAAGGCTCAAATAATGTCGATTTATAAGAGGGCTAAAGAAAATGAAAGATAAATTATAAACCTGAAATTCCACATTAAATATTAGTGCCTCTGAGAATCTCGCAACATTATCCTAGCCTTGCTGGGAAATAAAAAAAAAAAAAACGTACACACCCTCCGGTTTTTTTTGTTTTTTTTTTTTCTCGCCTTTACGAAGAGAAATATGGAGAAATTTAAAATTAAAAAAGATCAGGTAAAAACGGGATGTTCAATCTCACCGCAGCTCAGTGGCGCATGCATCTAAATATTTTCTTTTAATTTTTCTTTTTTTTTTTCGGCTCTTATCTTTAGTTTCTCACGACACGTTTGCCTGACTATTTCTCTAGAAATTAATGTTAAAACATTTGCGAATAGAAAAACATTGTACGACCTTTTATATATGATCATATTGTCTTCCAACGGTTCTTAAAACCGATGTACACGGCTGTCTGAGATAATCAATTCCTCGTATTTCATTCACCTAATGCATCAGTGAATTGTGTCATTCCTGCATATGTCTGGCAGACAGAGAGGCTTCACACATTTGGCGTAATTATGAGTAATGCTGTCACGCCTAGTGTGACATCACCAACACGCATCGGACAAACAAGCTAGTGTTTGCAGCGCGCATGTGCGAAAACCGGATCCGAGAAAAGGGAAGCATCTGCGCATGCGCAGAGCCGACAGCAGCGTTACCGCAGTTTCGTCACGTCAGAGAATTGAGTTGGTGTATCCGTTGACTTCCTCCGTGACTGATAGTGCGAGTGCTCTGTCCGGAAAGTGGATGGGACAAATACTTGTCGGGGACAACGTACGAAATGGTCCTAACGTTGGTTTCGTTTGTCCAGTGCCTCCGCAATGGATCATCGAGCCTTCCGAAACGTCCGTCGTGAAAGGCAGGAGCGCCGTCATTGACTGCGAAGCGGATGGTTTCCCAATGCCTCGAATTCGTTGGACGAAAGCAGAGGGTAAGCGAGTTTTGCTTTTCATACGGGAGTCACCGACAATTTGAGAAACGCTGCGCGTGGTCTTTTACGTTCACGCTTCTTGCTGCGGGATTTTTTTTTCCTTTCGTCCTTATTCGTTTACATCGTTATCTCATTGGTCGGAAGGCGGTAATTACATGGTCGCGACTCGCCACGCCCCGCATCTCTTAAGTTGTCAGTGCGTATAGCTGGCTAGTGAGCGCAAGCCTGAAACACCCCCAATAAACATTTGCCCATTGCACTGAAATGAAAGGAAACAAATATGAGCTGGCGATCTTTGGGGGTAGGACGTTTGGTTCGAGATTTTATGGTTTTCAAATAAAAACCAAAATTAAAATATGTCTTTATTTGCTCTCTTAGTGATAGAATACATCGCAGGAACAAACATAATATTTAGCATAATATAGAAGTATAACTTGTGGGATTTCCCCTTTGGGGGTTACCACTTAGAAACACAAAGAAGGTTCCTCGGGTTCGGATAAAGACGTGTTTATTGACTGCAATGCCAACACGCTTCGCTCTTAGACAACGAAAAGTCTGGGCGCTGGCTCAATTGCCAGTATCACCCGGTCGGTTTCCCGCGCTGCCGCATTAGACAGATTCACGGGAAGTCGGAGGCCCACAAAGAAAAACCGAGCTCCGTAGAGCCAGGGCCTCCGCCGACGAGAGCCCCTGGCCCACCTTCGCAGCCAGCTTATGTAGCCTCGGAGAATGGACGCGCCCGGGGAGGCCACTAGCAGTCGCGTCCATTATAACTCTGAAGGGTGTGCCGAAGGCGCGTTCACCCAAAATGGGCAAGGGAGAGCCGGCCCCTTCGGGGAATTCGGCCTCGTGGTTCCTTGTATCCGGGAGGCCGACGCCATTGGTGACGACGACTCCCACGGCCTGCTTGAAGCTAGGCCTGGATAGGGATAGAGGGAACCCGATGGTTCCCACAAACTTTGAAGAGAGACGGCAAAATACAAACCCTGTATGAAACATTTTATGGGAAAGTAGTAGTTTAAATTTTAAAGTTGATAGTGTTAGTTATTGCGGCCAGGAATTCGAGAAGGCGATTATGATCCATGAGAGTGTGGTGCAAAAAAGATGCTTGACGATCAGGCTCTACAATTGTAGATTCCTACTATTAGCTGGTTGTTTTTACGCGGTGGTATGTCAAATTAAGTTGCAATAAGAGAGCGACACACCGCGTGTACACAACATAATATTTAATGTAATAGAAAAATATGACTTCGAAGTGAAAAGACAAAAATACAAACCACGTATGAAACATTTCATGGGAAATTAGTAATTTAAATTTTAAAGCTGGCAGTGTTAGTTATTGCGGCTATAAATGCGAGAAGGCGGTTACGATCCATGAGAGTGTGGCGCAAAAAAGGTGCTTAACGATCAGGCTCTACATTGGGAGATTCCAACCTTTATCTGATTGTTTGTAAGCGAGGGTATGTCAAGTTAAGTTGCAATGAGCAGTGCGACACACCACGTGAATGCACCCAAGCATGCACACTAGCACTAAAAAAGAAAATACTTATTCTAAATCATTGATACCTTCCAATGTCGAGGCAATTTTTATTGACGCTCATTTTATTCTCACATACCCCCATTGTGTGATAGTTCATTATAGCGATTATGTAAAAAGTTTGCTTATATGTATCGAAATTTTAATGATAAAGTTTCTTAAGATCGAGTGCAAGCCGTTGTTTCAATGAAATTTTTAAATAACGCTTTTTTTTAGATATTGTTTTTACGCAAGGCTACCCACAACCCGAAGGAGGTAAGAAGGTGTATTCCATCGGCGTTAAAAACATTAAAAAACACAACAAATTTTTGTGCCGCTATGATTTTTTCAATGTGTTCATCTGGGTGTGTTCACGTGTATCTGTGTGTGCCTGTGTTGGTGCATGTTTCGGACCTGTGTGCGTAGATATGTATCAAGAGATAATTAGGAAAACCGTGTTCTTTATCTTTTAACCGCGAGCTAACTTCATGGCGAGTTGCAGTGGTGTTTTTCTTTCAATATTTTATCGAACTTTGCATAATGACGGAAAGCACCGTCGAGCAAGCTTTTATGCCGAGCTTAAAGCGCTTTTATTTTTTATTTTGCTTATTTAAAAAAAAAAGCAAATCCCCACCTTTCTGAGAAAACAAATTTAAGTGCAGACTTGAGTTGCACTTCTGCGCGCGCATAAAATAATGACATATATTTTAAAATCAGTTCCGCTAAAAATACACAGCTTTTGGTTTCAATCAATAATTTAGGCCCTATTTCAATATAAACAGGTTTACATTTCTCTTCATTTGGTGATTTTCGTTGTTCAAGAAAAAGGCAACAGGCCTGACCGTGCAGTGCAACTACGATGATAATAGCATGCCCTTGAAAATTTTTTTACCTTATTTCATTGTGAACCGTTGTTCTATTTAGGCAAAATAAAATATAATATGGTTTCTGGATGTCGCATATAGTGTTAAAAAATAATCGTGTACTCTAAATAGCCGAAAAACCATACCTTTGATTGCCAAGTCTGATAAACAACTCTTGCCGAAATTAGCCAGCTGTATATTAAGCTAAACCCACTGTTAAGTTTTCGTTCTTTCTACTTACAGTGATGATTTCCTTTATAGGGTAACCAGTACACATAAAAATTATCTTCAACTTACTGGAGAATTACATAACAATATCTGGGACCCTTCATCTGATATAATTTTTAAGTCATCACCTATCCCGACAACTTTTTTTGGTCCCTTACCCTATAGCAGTAGGGTGAAAACTTCGGCAAGTCTGTAATGCATATTGACGATTAAAACAGCGCAAACGAGTCGAAGGACAAAACGGAGTCGTAGCCTAACCTAACTTATACCTCTCGCGCCTCTGAATAATTCGGCCAAAGTAGGCAATCCTTTAATAAAAATAAATTCATATTTTTACTCACTTATATATATGATTGGGTAAATATTCGGCAGGTATCTCTCAGACATAACTAGGATTTCGTGTTTGCGGTAAATAGCAAAAAAAAAAAAACAATTGGGTCTGTCCTGAACAGAAAAACACAAGCTTCATGAGAAGAATATTTGCATAACACCAACGTGCATGGAGGTGCAAGTCACCGAAGCTCGGGGTATCGTGCCGATGCAGGCGACGCGGCCCGCGACTTCAAGCCGGTGGTGAGCAGCGCCCACGTCCAAGTCTTCGAGAACGGGTCCTTGGCCATCAACGACGCCAAGGAAGAGGACGCCGGGTTCTTCCTCTGTCAGGCATCCAACGGGATCGGACAGGGCCTCAGCAAAGTCGTCAAAGTCACCGTGCACAGTACGTCACTTCCGGAATGTGCTGAACCATATACTTCCGGCACAACCGCCACTCTTTTGTTAACAAGGCCGTTCCGCTAAAATTTTTGCGTCACCGACCGGAAGACATCGCTGGACAGGGACTGGTTACGAGTGCCGCGTCCGCGTTTGGCTCGAGCTCGTCTCCTAACTGATTGAACACGAGTTATACCTAGTTACACGGGCGTTCTTAACCACAGTTAGTGTGACGACAGTCAGTTATACAGATTCAGGCCTAATTACCGAGCAAGAAAGACAAACATCAGAAGCCACGCCTCGCATTCATTAAGTTGCCAGTAAACGTATATAAGGGCTTTTGCACTTTTCTCCCTTTCCACAGCAACAACGTCACAGAAGTTATCCGCGCAACGCTGGCTACTGGTAGTGCAATGTGGAGGGCAAGTTCGTCTGCTTTTTTTTGCAAAGGTTGTGGTAACGTCAAAACTCCGAGCTCTGATAGATTCCGAATCAATGACAGTGGGTAGACCTCAGGGTAGCTTGCTTTGAGGCCTACCCACTATCCTTCAATCAAAGCTCGGCGTCTTTCTGACGTCACCGGAACTCCTGCACAAGAAGCAGACGACTTTCTCTCCGCATAGCATCACGCGAGTATGACACAAAGCGTGAAATGGAGAGCAAGTCAACAACCGCGCTGCCCGTTATCAGACCTTTTTAGTGTGACGTCAAGGGGAGAGTAAGCGGGCCTTGTTAGTAGTAGATAAATCGTGTTGCTCAATGGTGAGTTTTTGCTGAAAGGCAAACCCTCCCGAACTGCGTGCACAATGCATTCAGGGACTTTCAAATGTCCCTGAATGCATACTGCAAAGCGATACGCTCGAAACACCAGTCATTGTTCTTATCATCATCATCATTATTATATTTTTTTCTTGAGAATAAGTACTATAGAAGCGGGAGTAAGCGTATTCACAAAAGAAAATTTTAAAAAAGTTTAAGAAATACTAAATCCTGGATTCTATGTAGGGCGTTAGAATTTTAACCATCTCACTCAATAAGAACGGCGATTAGTACATTGTGACGTTAGCGGGAATAGTAATAGACGTATTGTCACTGTGACTGCACGCCATTAACGAATGATACTGAACTGAATTTTAAAAAAAACTCATAATTTGTGTTTAAAGTGTTTCGCAGGGCAGTACACCTTCAAGAGCTCCTTAAAGTAGAGTGTGTAGCACGTCATTAAACCCAACGTTGACGCAGCATTGGTACAGAATACGAGCTGAGAGTGAGAACTAGAAAACTCTGGTAGTTCACTTTCCCGCAGAACACCGAGGCGGCCAATAACAGCGAACAACAGAAGGATTCCAGTGAATAACAAATATTAGAATACGATTAAAAAAAGGGCAATGCGCACAATGACAATGAGCGAGAAAAAAAGACCTCTCATTGCGCACAATTTTTTTTAAAATTGTATTTGTAGTTTTTTTTTTTTTTTTTGCTAGTATTTTTTTGTTGTTCACCGTGAATAGCTCCCTCCGTGTTCTGTGGCATTTCACGTGCGCAGAAACCAGATGAGCGTGAGGTGAAGCCTCTGCGTGTTCGTAGAGCCAAGAGCAGCGTTCCACTGTGGTGTGAAATCAGAGAGTTGAGTTGGTCTATAGTCAATGCAAGTTAAAAGAGACAAAGAGACAATGAAGTAAAATAGTTTTTCTTAAAGGGCATAAATGAGAAACATATTATTTTTTTAATTTTTGCTCTTAAAACACTGGTATCAATATTTACTACGTTAGACGCAGTTTAGGTGTGGGCAGCACTGCTTAAGCCCCCGGCAGATGCTTCGAAAACTAAACACCTTTTCTCGCCACTTGTTGATCGCAGAAATGATTGACGTGTGAAGTGTTCCTTGTGGAATTTTCTGTCCGTGCGTAATAGAATTTATATTGATAATATTTTTATGTTGGCGAAATAAACAATTTAAATAGATCCATTATTGTTTTCAAAAATATCCCGAGATTGACTTTTCGCTTCGACCTCAGACGATAACAAACATGGCTGCAGGCGTTTGCGGCGTCCCAACGAGCTACGCGCGTTGAGCTACTTCATTTTTATGAGTGCGAGTCGTTCTTCGTTCACTGCGGTGTTCAAAGAACGATCTTCTCGACCGACCTAGTCGGCGGCAAACAACTGTCGCAAGTATACGTGACTTCGAAAGCGCTGTGCAGGTGCTTGGGTCCGTAGCTGGACTGGTCTACGCTTAGCGTCCCACGTCAACTATGTTGCCTCATCTGGCATAGTTTGTTTCTTTACGCAAGTTGATGCTGAATAAAGATGGGGGTTCCCGTAAAAGCAGCTCCGCTGCTCTAAGAATTGTGCCACCGTCGTGATTGTAACCATGGTTTCAATTTCGAAAAGATGCCTAGGGGTAAGAATTTGCGAGCCATTCGGATGGAGCCAATTGTGCGTTCGTCTAGCATAAAGTTTTCCCAGGTTTCCGCTATAAAAGGCAAGTAGCTCTCAAGTTTCGCAGTGCACCTGGCCTGCCGAAGCGAATATTTTTAGGTCGGGTTTCAATTGTGCGTCATAACGCTCAACCACATTGCTCACGGATGCCAAGCGAAGAAAATAACAACAAGAACAAAAAAGCTAGAAGTAGTGCATATTTATTTCCTTGATATTTTTTAGTCCTCTCGGTCGCTCTTTTACCGCATATTGAGAGACGCTGACAGACGCTTGTATTGGACCGTGGCTCGTGCATGATGAAACGTTAGAACGCCGATTTCATTGTCGCGTCTCCTTAGTGTTGCATAAGTTTTCAGACGGTGGCGAAATAGCAGACGGACGAAGGCGAAACGGACGCCGACGCGCAGCCTTCGCGTCCGTGTCTCAGGTGCATTGCAGATGACGATAGACGGTGGCGAAATAGCAGACGGACGAAGGCGAAACGGACGCCGACGCGCAGCCTTCGCGTCCGTGTCTCAGGTGCATTGCAGATGACGATAGACGGTGGTGAAATAGCAGACGATCCGGGAGGCTGCCGCTCGTCTGCTCGCACGACTAGCAGCCGTTGTGAGACGTGAGACTAGAGGTACCGGATGTCGCAAAAGGGAGAAACTAGGATGGCGTGTTCAGCTGAGCAGCCAAGACAATGTAATAGTAATGGGCGGGGCCACTTACCTGTGGGCGTGGCGTATATCGTGCAGTGGCCTCCAACTAAATTGCATCTAACGGCGCAAATATTGCGCTATTTTTTTTATTTCGTGGAAGATTTATTTTAAAAAGTATGTGTCCCATCCATAAAATGTAGAGAATAGCCTATTATGTTCACGCTCCTGTCTTTGTGATTTGTTCTTCGGCCTTCTTATCGGCTAATCTCAATAATATTGGCTCTGGAGCAATGATTAGATGACTGGGACTCGCTACGTACATCGTTTCTCAAGCTGCCTGTGCTTTATGTGCCTTATGTTCCTTAAAGGCCGACGACCAGACTCGAGATTCTGCAAGGCAGAAGACCCTCCTCTTCACGCCTTCGGGCGAGGGAAGCGAAGGATGGAAAGAAGGAAAAAAGAGGGGCGTGCGTGGGCGGAAAGGGTAGGAGGGAGAGGAGGAAGCGGGCGAAAAGTGGAAAGCGCGAACTGGTCGTCGGTCTTGAATACGGAAGAACGTTTTCAATTAAGCCCGTTCTGTGTTCACCTGGAAGGTACTGTCGGGAGCAAAATTTTGGATAACACCGGAGCGCCGACCGAATTGCGTCGCCGCGTTCCCTGACGGCGCGCCGCGTTCCGTCAAGACCTGTGCAGTGCGCACGTGCGTCCTTATCTGCTGGCCTGCTCGTTTGCTCACTTCAATGCGACCGCACCGATCTGATTGAAACGGCGATAGACGGTGCTCGGGAGCCTTGATTCCACAATCTTCGCTCACTGCTATGGACAGCGACCGAGTTCGCATGCTCGGCGGCACGGGAAGATCACGCGAATCTCTCACGCGATGAGGCAACAAAATAAAATAAATCGTTTTTTTTTTTTTTTTACGGCATTTGAAAGAAAGTCGCTTGCTAACAGTTTCCTACGAATGATCAATAGTTAAGATGCACTCTTGGTGAAGGGTTGAAGGACATATTGCAAAAAAACGCAGGGCAATCATATACTATCTTTACAAACCAGAAATAAAATTGCAAGAAAAAATTGTGCTGGACACAGTACTCAGAGCACCGTTGGTCGCTAAGCGCTCCCAGTGCCGCAAAGCACGCATGCTCGGTCGTTTGGCCGCTGCCCAAAGCGATGAGCGAAGATTGTGGAATCACAGCTGCTGGAGTGGAGTGTATCGCCGTTTTAATCAGACTGGAGCTCGTCGCGTTGAATCGAGCAATTGAGCAAGTCAGCAGATAAAAAAGGACGCGCGCGCGCACTGCGCGGGTCTCGACAACAGGCGGCGCGCCGTCAGGGAGCGCGGCGATGCAATTTGGTCGACGCTCCGGACTTATCCGAACTCTTGCTCCCTACAGTATATTCAGCTCTCCCACCTATGCTCAAACAAGCGCAGTTTCTGGTAGGCAGTGATCTTTGCTAGGGGGAGAGGGTGGCACAAGTTTATTCTCGGAACGTATGATCTCGGCTAAATAGGCATCCTATTTGCAGCCAACGTTGTACTAGAACAACTCAGTTGAGAAAATCACCCTTGAAACCCGGACCGCTCACGCCTACCGAGACCGAACTAGATACGATTACAGCGCCGCCCTTTAGCGGCGCTTCAAGACATGAAAGTTGCTTTAGAGAGCAACTGCGAGTTGCCGCTGCGGGATGGCGCCACCGGCCCTTGCGCGACTCGACTGGACCGGTACGTGCAGCCTTGCAGTTCCCGGAGTGGCTGGCGTGGGAGAAATGGCGGCGTTCCGATCGCTCCTAGTTCGGGTTGAGTACGGATCGGAGCCACTTTTTCAAAGCAGGCTCCTATATGGCAGTTTCCCAAGTAACGTTGATTGTTCTAGTAACGTCGGTTGCAGCCAATGCTATTTCAACCACGTATGAG